GGGGCGCCCAGGCCAACCCGACGGATGCTGTTACGGGAAAAATCTTTCAGCCATTGTGCACATGCGCGCACACGCACACCTGATTGGAATCAACATGAACAAGCACTCGAAGAAGTAGTAGTGATCTATGACAACTTAGGTCTTCAATGAACAGCAATAGCAGATAAGTCACTTCCTCTCCTTGACTGCTACCACTTAAAACACCTTCACTTTTGGAGAATAAAGGACAGATTCTCCCCTGTGCCAAGTTATATTTGATGCAGGAATAAGTGTCCCCCATCCATCAGGGACCTGCTTACTCGTAGATTTTCAAGCTCTCCCCCACCCCCGACATACCTACTCTAATTTACCACAAGGGACTATAATCCCGGTAAGGCCATACACCAGATGAAAGTTGCTATTAGTTGAGCTCTGTCCTGTCCCCACATCAAGCAGACAGGCTACACGGCATGGGTAGGACGGAAATTTGTGGAGGAGAAGGCGCTACCGACTTTATGGCAGTTGAGAGGTTCCAGCTGGAGAAGTGCAACCATACTGCATTACCTTTGCTTCAGAAATGGAGCCAAGAATCTAAAGCTCCAGGGACATGAGGATCCAAATATTTAAAGATTTTATTATGTGGTACGCATTACTCTAGTGAAAAGTTGGTAGCTGAGGTCCGTATGCTCTATTCAAGGCATGCTCAAAACTAATTTTAGGAAGTTCCCATCTGAGCCTTCGTTAGGATCATAATACCAAGCTTGGTCTGCTTTCTTGATAGGCGCATTGACCCAAGCATACTGTGCACGTTACAACTTGTCACAAGCTTATAACTCCATGAAAAAGTGTCCAAAACAATGTCTCTGTCTTTGTTTATACAGTGATGGAATTTTAGAATGGCACAGCTCATGCCAGATAATTTTCTAACACAAAAGGTATTGTGCCCATGAGGTAACTTTTTTGGACCTCACTGTGATGGATAAAAATTCATCACTGGACTGGAAGCTGGTGGTTGCCTAGAGACTGGTGAACATGACCTGATTACATTAAATATGGACAGAGAACAGTCCCAGCCGGAAGTGTGTTTTTTTTTTTATATCTATATCTATATCTATACATATACATATATACACATACATACATATACATATATACACATACATACATATACATATATACACATACATACATATACATATATACATACACACACACACACACAGTGTTTCAAAAGGGCTAATTTCCCAAAGATGAAGAAGATTATAAGCAAAATTGATGAGAACTTTTTTAAGAAGAGTTTATTATATGGACCAAAAAGCCATGATTCCACAATCAGAAAAGAGTCCACCTTTCGCTCAAGTCCATCTGGTTCAGTGGCAAAGTGAAGGACGCAATTAGAAATAAAAAACTCAATATATAACAAATGGCAAAGGGGGGAAAAGAGACAGCAATCAATATAAATCAGAAGTTATGAAGTGCAGAAAATTGATAAGGGAAGCTGAAAACATCAGGGACAAACCCATGGTCAGCGGGGCTAAGGACAATGAGATTTTAAAGTATTAGGAACGTATTGATGGAGACGATAAAACTGTTGATGATGCAGAAAAGGCAGAATTCAATAAATATTTTTGTTTTATATTTAGAAGAAAGCAAGTTATTGTACTCAAATCATGAGGATGTGAAAGTGCTTTCCAGGCAATTAGTAACAGAGAATTATGTTAGATAAAATCCATTAGTATAAATATTTATTAGTCAGCAGGCCCAAATGACTTGCATTCAAATTTCTCAAAAGAGTTGGCTGAAGAGATCTCTGGCCCACTGATGTTAATTTATAATAAGACTTGGAATACTGGGGAAATTCCAGAAGACAAGAAAAGTACTAATGTGTCAATATTCAAAAAGACAAATGGGGTAACAACTATATGCTGATTTGTCTGACATTAATCCCAGGAAATATAATAAAAAAGCTGATACAGGATTCGACTGATAAAGAATTAAAGGCTAAGAATATAATTAACACCATTCAACGTGGTTTTATGAAACATAAATCTTGTAAAAAAATACCTGATTTCATTCTCTGAAGAGATTAACAGTTTGGGTGATAAAGGTAACTGCACAGATGTACAATGCTTAGACTTTTATAAAGTGTTTGACTTAGTACCACATGACATTCTGATTAAATAAATAAGTGGTAAATAATGTTGAGGACAGGGCATTCATACAGAGTGATCTGGACTGCTTGGTAACCTGAGCCCATTCAAACAAAACACATTTTAATACAGCCCGCTGCAAAGCTATAAATCTAGGAACAAGTAACACAGACCATACCTACAGAATGGGGGTCTGTACCATGGAAAGCAGTGACTCTGAACATGACTTAGGGGTCATAGTGGACAAGCAACTCAACATGAGCTCTCAGTGTGATGCTGCGGCAAAAAGGGCTAATGCAATATTTGGATGTATAAACAGGGAATAGCAAGTACTAGTAGGGAGGTGATTTTACCTCTGCTTGTGACACTGGCGAGACCGATACTGGAATACTGCAGACAGTTGTGGTGTCAACATTTTAAAAAGGATGATGAGGGCCTCAAGTAGATAGAGGATGCACAAAAACAATTTGAGGGCTGGAGAAAATACCTTACAGTGAGAGACTTAAAGAGCTCAACCAAGATGAAGATGGAGAGTTGGTAGCTTGATTACAGTGTATAAGCACCTTTACGGGGAGGAAAATACTGAGTATTAAAGAGCTCTTTAAACTAAAGCAAAAAAAAAAACATGGCTGGAAGCTGAAACCAGACAAATTCATATTAGAAATTAGGCACCTTTAAAAAAAAAAAAAAAAAAAAAAAAAGGGGGGGG